GCAGTTTCTTATTATCTGTCAGTCTTTCAATAAAGCTAACTGATAACACTAAATCACTGAACTGTCATTTGCCAGTCACATTAAATTTATAGAAAAAGTCAATTAAATGTAGCTTTAGCAAAAAATTAATGTAAACCTTAATGTAATGTGTAAAATGGCAATGTATTTATTTATTTATTTAATAGAATTTGTATTATGACGTGCAAAGTTTGGTGCAAAATGAAGATGACGATTAAATTATAGAATTTGTATTCTATAATTTTCATATAGCCATTTTCAAACAGTTTTAATATCTAAATTGCATGCACATTCTTATGCTTTATAAGTTGCCAAACTTACTAAAGGTAACTTACTAAGGTAATTTTTAACTGATAAACTAAGGTGTTTCATCCATGCATCATTCTCACTGCACTTTTGTAACTTCACTTGTAGTTATTTCCTATTCAGTATTTAGCTATTTAATGTTGTTTGGTATCAACCACCTAAACTCCTGTTTCTTTTTGTCTCTACCAATAGAGTTGTGAGGAATCAGAGGTGCATGCAGCTGCCCACGGGAAAAATTTTCATCAGCCCAACACAGTTTGGATTATCATAGGACTGTCAGAGGTTTGCCAAACCTGTCAAATGCATGATGGCTCCTGTTTGGACTTACCGATGTCCTCGACTTCAAGTATCCATCAAAACTGTATACATTTGAGATATATCAGAGACTCTTTGTGGGGCTGGACATTATGCATCCTAAATCTTCATCAAAATATGCAAATCTCCTCACTGAGTTGCCTTAGATGATTTCTCAATAGGATCTGGTATTATTAATGTTTTTATTTATGTATTGTGTACGTGTAGCCACATTAATGGCCTATTTTGTAGTCACTATTAAAAGGAACATTGATTGATATTGAATACATGTTATGGTCTTTAATCCATCTTCCCATTCTTATTTAATTGTTATTGACAGGAAAGTCTGTTTATCTGTTTTTCCTAGTGTATATTGTGCTTACAATATAGAAACGAAGATTTATTTTCTAAGGTTACAGCCAGAAGTTAATTGAATTAATTTTAAATCAAATATGCATGGTTAATTTTATTTAGATAATTAAGTTCATAATACTTAATTAAAATAAGTACAGTCAACATATAGCAATGTATAAGTAAGTTAAGTTTAACAAAAAAAAGTAAGTTTATCTGATTTGAGTAATTTTAGAAATATTAGTTGGCTCAACTTAATTTTATTGCATTTGTTTTAAGCAATGTTTTAGTGTTTAAAATACTTAAAAAAGGCTGGAAGTTGAATCAACCTAAAACGTCCGATGCAACCACTTGCCTCACTTTTTATAAGTTAGATCTAGGTAACATTTTTTACAGTGTTGACTTGTTTTAACTACTTCATTCATTTGCATGTTTGTTGAAAGGTTATGTTTGCATGTGAAGCATGTTTCTATGCTAAGTCACAATGATTAGCTCTCCTGTGCTTTTTTTTTTTTTTTATATTTCCCAAATGATGTTTAGCAGAGCAAGGAATTTTTCACAGTATTTCCAACACAATCTCACGGCAATTCGCAACTTTTTCATTTAGTGGCTAATTCGTATGAATTCGTACGATCTAATTCGTACAATTTAGTACGATTTGCTTTTCCCCCAATGACGGTTGGGGTTAGGTGCCACGCCTCCTTTTTAAAATCGTATCATTTCGTACGACTGAAATCGTACGAATTTGTACGAATTAGCCACTAAACTGGCAAAACGTAAAATACTTACGTTTTCTTGTGAGATCAGGCTGGTATTTCCTATAATATTTTTTCTTCTGGAGAAAGTCTTATTTGTTTTAATTCGGCTAGAATAAAAGCAGTTTTTAATTTTTTTACAACTATTTTTAAGGTCCATATTAGCCCTCTTACGCTTTTTTATTGTCTACAGAACAACCCATCCTTATACAATGACTTTCCTAAATAAATTAACTTGGTTAACCTAGTTAAGCCTTTAAACTGCACTTTAAGCTGAATACTGGTTTCTTAAAAAATATTTAGTCAAATAATATGATCATTATGGCAAAAAGTAAAAGTCATCAGTTGCTATAAATAAGTAATTAAAACTATTATGTTTAGAAATGTGTTGAAAAAATCGTCTTTCCGTTAAATGGAAATTGGGGAAAAAATACAGGAGGACTAATAATTCAGACTCGTTTAGCTAACTGCGTGACTTTTACAGTTCATTAATCACAACCGCTTGTTTTTCTTGGAAATATTGAGTAACCTACACCTGAGGCACAGGAATAAGCAGAGATCACAATAACAGCGAATCTTCATTGACTGAGTCACGTTTTTTCTTAAAACCACAGAATTTTTAATATCTAAAATGCCTTTGTACAAAAAGTACAAAATACAGCAAGTAATATATTTAAAATATGACCACTTACATCATTTGAAACATGAACAGCTAAACAGGTATATAAAAAACACAATTCACGAATGACCAAAAAACAACAACATATGAGAGGCCTATTTCCATACTTTTCTTTGACGAAAATATTTCAAAAGTTGGTCCAAACTAAATCACAGTCATTTGACTTTTGTCTCTATCAAAGAAGTAACTTTTACTTTCATGTCATAAATGTTATGGCATTATCAAGTAAAGACTTATGCATTGTGCAACTTCTTGTTACACTGGTTTTACCATGTAGCATCCCCCTTAAAAAGAGGAGGATAGGACTTCAGATATAGGAAGTGCTCCAAGATCTTTTGTTTTTTCTGGACACTTGGGTGTTCTCCCACGATGTTAAAAAGCCTCCCGGTAACACTGCCATATCACATATTACAGACTAAATATGTTTGACGTTACTTGTGGAGGAACATTCAAGCAGAGTGTGTTGGCTCAATCTCACAAGGAAACGTAACTTCTTTTTTATATGACCTCATTTGTACGAAAATGTACGACTTTTAAAGGAAGGTGTAAGGCGAAAACTTAACATTTTTAATATTTTGCGTATCCCCAAACTCCGCCACTAAACCCAAACATCATTGGGGATGAGCAAACCTAAATCATTTGAAAGACATTGTAAAAATTTGGAGAAATTAGCCACAAAATATTTAACGCATTGTCCATGGTAATTCATACAAACTCATACGATTTGATTTGTACGTAACGTACAATTTTTAATATAATGCATACCACTAAACCCCGCCCCTAAATCCAACTGTCATTGGGGATGATAAAAATCATACTAAAATGTATAAATGAGAACGTACAAATTAACCACAAACAATTTTACGCATTTACAAAATACGTAATTAATCTGATTTGATTTGTACGAAAACGTACAATTTTCAAAACTATGCGCAATCCCCAACCCCGCCCCCAAACTCAACCGCCATTGGTGGTGAGAAAATCGTAAAATGTACACTGTAAGAAAGCGATTAGTTTAGTATTTTCATGCAAGTAAACCCATTGCCTTAACATCATTACATAAATTAACTATGGGCGTACTATAAAAATTAAGTCAGCTTAACTATTCCAAGTTACGTTTTTACAAAAATTTACACTGTAAGAAAGCGATTAGTTGAATTGGGTATTTATAAGTAAACCCAGTGTCTCAGTGTAAATTAAGTAGATGCAAAATATAAAAAAAGTCAACATAACCATTTGAAGAAACGTTTTTACTCACTTTTTAAGTACTCAAACTGTCGATTTTAAGGCAACAGGTTTACTCATACAGAATCTAATCGTTTTTTCAAGTGTACAAATGAGAAATTCATACGCATTAGCCACTAATAATAGGTAATTTGTTTTAATTTAATTCGTACGAAAAACGTGACAAAAACGTAAAAGGTACACTGTAAGAAAGCGACTAGTTGACTGGAGTATTTATTAGTGAGTAAACCATTGTCAGATTACTTATACAGAAACTGCCGCATTTACCTGTCACAGGTTTACTTATACAGAAACTAATCAGTTTTTAGAGTGTACAAATGAAAAATTCACATGAATTAGCCACTAAAAATAGGTAATTCAATTTGATTTTATTCATACAAAAACGTGAGAAAATCACGTGAGAAAAACGTAAAATGTACACTGTAAGAAAGCGATCAGTTGACTTGGGTATTTATAAGTGAGTTAACTCATTTTCTTAATATTAAGTAAATTAACTACTCGCATAATATAAAAAAATTAATTCAACATAACTATTTGAAGTTACGCATTTACTCATTTTGTTTAAGTAGAGTAAAACTGTCATTTTTAAGGCAACAGGTTTAATCATACAGTAACTAAATGCTTTTTAAAGCATACGAATGACAAAATCGCCTGAGAAAAATGTAAAATGTACATTGTAAGAAAGCGCCAAGTTGACTTGGGTATTTATAAGTGAGTAAACTCATTATCTTAGAATTAAGTAAACTAACCATGCGCATAATATAAAAAATTAAGTCAACATAACTATTCAAAGTTAAGTTTTTACCCTTTTTTTAAGTAGAGTTAAACTTTCGCTTTTAGGGCAATAGGTTTAGTCATACAGAAACTAAACGTTTTTTATAGTGTACAAATGAGAATTTCATTCGAATTAGCCACTAATAATGGGTCATTCATATGATTTGATCTGCACGAAATCGTGTGAGAAAAACTTAAAATGTAGACTGTAAGAAAGCGAATAGTTGACTTAGGTATTTAAAAGTGAGAAAACCCATTGTCTTAAAATTAAGTAAATTAACTATGGGACTTAGTATAAAAAAATTAAGTTAACAATTTGAAGTTACGTTTTTACTCATGTTTAAGTAGAGTCAAACTGTTGTTTTTAAGGCAACAGGTTTACTCATACAGTAACTAAACGCTTTTTAGAGTATACGAATGAGAAAATCACGTGAGAAAAATTTTAAATGTACACTGTAAGAAGGTGATTAGTTAACTTGGGTATTTATAAGCGAGTTAACTGCTTATCTTAGAATTAAGTAAACTAACTATGCGCATAATTTAAAAAAAATAAGTCAACATAACTATTCGAAGTTACGTTTTTTTTTTTTTCAAACTTTCGTTTTTAAGGCAACAGGTTTACTCATACAGTAACTAAACGCTTTTTTAGAGTATACAGTTGAGTTCGTACAAATTCATACGAATTAGCCACTAAATCAAATAGTTACGAATCGTCGTGAGATTGCACTGGTGATTACACATACAGTAATTCAACAGGCATAATAAAAGCCTTTGCAAAGAACGAGTGAAAACCACCCTGGAGCTTCCATACATTAAGAATTGTTTTTTTTTTCCATTTAGAAAAATAGTATCTTTAAAAGTTGGCGTGAAACCAACAACTCATCAAAAACAGCCATCAGTGCAATATTTAAAACATTCTCAAGTATAAGTGATGCATATTTCCATACTGGCTTTGAAGCGTCTCAAAAGTCACGACATATTAAAACCTCACCGCGTCTTGCCTGAGTTGACGAGGGGTCTAGGAAGACGAGGCCAATGTGCTTTAGGATACAGTGCCATCTACTGCACTGATCTATGGATTTGCTCGACCTCCGAATTACAATACAGCAACATGTGGCTTGAAATGTGTGGATCAACTCAAGAAGAAATGTATTGATTGTGACACACCAGTGGCAAAATGCAGTCTGATTTGGTCATGTCTGGCAGGAACACGTCTCAGTTCGAGAGGCGAGATGTCCTCGATGACCAACATTAAAATGTCACCTTTATAATGCATTACACTTGAGGTATCAGACATCAGTCCCGGTTCTAGATGAAATGCAGAGTGAATGTGTACATTATGAATATTTATCTCATTCTAGGCAGTGTGCAAATTATTTCTTGACATTCGGGGAGGTTGACTTTTTAAAGAAATGAATGTTGTTTTAAGGTTGAGGTGTAGTTATCGAAGAGGTCAATCATGTTAAAACATTGAAATGTTTATGATCTATATGTATATATAATATAGTTTTTATTTAGAAATCAACTGTTTGATACTGAACTTTGTGGTACACTTACAAAAATAAAGTTTCCAAATTGAGTTTTTGCAGCAATGCAATATACTCTTAAAAATAAAGGCTCTTTGCTTGAAATCAGTGGCTTCAAGGAACTTTTTCAATCCATAAAATGTTCTTAAAAAGGGAAACTATCTTTATATCATTGAAATGTTTCTCACATTAGAAATGAATAGAGTTTTTAGGAACCATTGACCAAAGACATCACTGCAAACAACTCTTTTAGAAACTGTATAATATTTTTGGTTCCACAAAGAAGCTTTCAGGGAAACTTTTTAATGATCTAAAGCAGGAGTCCCCAAACTTTTCAGCCCACGACCCCCAAAATAACAATGCCAGTGACTTGCGACACCCAAGATTCTCTGAGGTGGTTATAAATAAATCAGTCTTGCAAACAATGGTGCACACATACCAATAGGCCCAAATCTATTCATCATTTAATTTCGGAGAACGCCACTACCCATCCTCCATGTTCAGTAGAGGGCTGTATTTATTTTGAATGTATGTAAGTGCTGTAAAGGTGTCAAAGTTTAACCTGGTGCCATCAAATATAACGTAATCGCCTCAGGGGTTGCCAAAATTTTTTTTTAAAAGGCTGATGGCTTTTCATTTGAATGTTGAATGTTTACTACACTGTAAAACCCAACAGTCAACTTTATCAAATGAAATGAGTGTAGTTAACTCAAAATTTACAGAAAGCTATTTCTGCTCATTTGAAAAGAGTTTTGAACTCTGTGTTGAAGGTAACAAGTTAATTAAATACCTCATTACTTCAACTTAAATGAGGTAAGTTCCCAGTTCTCATATAGTTTAGTTTTTTTAATTAAATGGTTTTTAGCAATCGGTTTCCTCAAACGGTTCGAGTTGCCTTGACTTATTAGGTTTAAAGTACTCAGTTGGTTTGAGTTCACTTAATTTATTGGGCTTTACTGTGCTTAAATTGCTTTGTTTACTCAAATGGATTAAGTTCACAGTACTCATTAGGATTAGTTTTTGAACTTAAATGGTTTGTTGCAATCGGTTTCCTTAAATAATTTGAGTTACCATAACTTTTTGTGTTTTACAGTGTATTAACATGTTAACAATGTTACTATTAACTACTATTTTGTTCAGCAGTAGGTTATGGATAAAATGGGTTGATTCTAATAGTTTATTAAAATCAATATGATTTTTGGAAATCCCAAAAGGGTCCGGACCCCCATCTAAAAAGCTGTAAAGATACTGAAGTGTAAGAAAAGGTTCAATAAATGTTAAAGACTCTTGATGGAACGAACTCGACTTTCCAAAACTATTTTAAGAGCAAGGATTAACTTGTTGGGGTTGCATTTTAACATATAACCATTTATAAACATTTTCAAATGTATATAATCCATCATTGTTTTGATTTTGAGAGCTTAATTAAGTAGTCACACCACCCCGAACCACCATAATTCGCACCCTGAGTCTGTTTTTCTCACTGATTTGTTGTTTTTTTGAATCTATAAATACCCCTGTGATCATTTTCATCACGCATCGAAAGTTGGCA